TGTGTGTGTGTGTGTGTGTGTGTGTGTGTGTGTGTGTGTGTGTGTGTGTGTGTGTGTGTGTGTGTGTGTGTGTGTGTGTGTGTGTGTGCATTCAGTAGGCTGTTTAAGCAGCAGATGCAAGTTTAGCATCCAAACCATTCTCCCTCCTCAGAAAACTGAATGGCAGTTTTACAGCAAGTGTAAAAATTGAACCCATATGGTTGTTTGTTATGTCATCTTCCAAACAAAGTTACGCATAAATATACACGACTTTGTCTAGGTGTGTTATGAATGATGGCAGAGTAGAGGAAATCAAGCCAACACACGAAACAATCAGCTTGACCTCACACCCAGCAAACACGCGGCACATGCTCTTCTTTGCCCCGAGCCCACTGAATTTAATGAAATAGCTGCTTGACACAGACATGAAGGAGGTTAAATCTGTCAGCATGCAGTCACTGAACGAGCTGACTTTGGCCCCAAGATCTTGTTTGAAGGAAAGGGTGAAAAGAGAAAGAAGAATGCTGTTCTTTTCAATTCAGTTCAGTTTTATTTATATTGCGCCAAATCACAACAGCAGTTGCCTCAAGGCACTTTATACTGTGAGGTAAATACCCTACAATAATACAGAGAAAACCCCAACAATAAAATGGCAACAGTGGGAAAGAAAAACTCCCTTTTAATAGGAAGAAACCTCCAGCAGAACAAAGCTCAGGGAGCAGTGGCCATCTGCCGGTTTTCTCTGTTTAAGAAGGCCCAACAGCGTCTCCACTTTCTGAGAATCCTCAGAAAAATGGACCTGAAGAAGGAGCTGTTGACCGTCTTCTCCATTGAAAGTGTGCTGACATATTGCATCGGTGTGTGGTTCTCCAGCTGCACCACAGCACAGAGAAAGGTCATCAATATGGCCCAAAAAATCATTGGACATCCTCTTCCCTCCCTGTACAGCACTCGCTGTCTCAAGAGGGCACGCAGCATTCTACGGGACTGCACACACCCAGGACACGGGGTGCTTAAGCTGCTGCCATCTGGCAGGAGGTTCAGGCTGCTGAGGTCCCGAACAAATAGACTCAAGGACAACTTTTACAACAGGGCAACAGCCCTGATCAATGCAAATAGCTGACCTGACTGGCTTTTTTTATTACTAAGTTATTATACTGTGTTGTTTGTGTTGTTTGTGTTGTTTGTGTTGTTTGTGTTGCGTTGTGATGCGTCGTATCGTATCGTGTTGTGTTACATGTAGTGCCGACGTAGGACAGTTTTCCAATTTCATTGTACTATTGTACTATGTATGACTGTGCAATGACAATAAAGAGTTATCTTATCTTACATAACCAAATAACAATACAGTTGGCCTTTGTAAGTGTAGAAATATTCCCAATTGTCAGTATAATTATCCTTTGACCTAATGGTGGTGCAAAAGTCATGTGCCATCCCTCATTTCTTTATACCGGTGCTGACAAAAGAGGAAACGTGTGTAGTTTATTGAAACATGTGTAGATAAATGGTAAATGGCCTGTATTTATATAGCGCTTCACTAGTCCCTAAGGACCGCAAAGCGCTTTACACATCCAGTCATCCACACATTCACACACACATTCACACACTGGTGATGGCAAGCTACATTGTAGCCACAGCCACCCTGGGGCGCACTGACAGAGGCGTGATAGATGGTATTATATGGTTGATCAAAATCCGACAGTTTTTTTCTCCGTTGGTTTTTCCATCCATTTGGCGAGATCCCAAACACACAATTTCAAATCAAGATTCAACACTCGTTAAGACCCATTGCCACTAATTTATGTAACCAGTTTCTGCTTCTGTTTCCCCATTACACTGACATTTGTGGCAAGTGGAATAATGCTACATAAACACTGTTACATTTACAGTCCAGTTTTTGTATAATTTCACACACTTCATCCATTTGTCCCTGCTTCCTGTCAGAGCTCTGCTGGATTTTTTTCCCCCGTATTTCTTAAGGACATGACTTTCACTGTTTATTTGCTGTAGATCCTTTGCAGTCCTGCCACTTCTTCTTTTGGCTCCCACGTGTCTAGCCTTGCCAGTTTTTGAATTGCTTGTGCAAAAATAAGATTCTAGGTTTGTCAAACTGTGCGATCTTTTGTATTTTTTATAGACAAAATTGAAAAATTTACATGCAGACGCCATCTCTTGGCCCATCTCTTAATTCAGTTGCCTTTTTTATGCTTGAATGATTCACAGGTCACTGTTAAATTACTAACCAAATATGAAAATATTCCCTTAAAAATGGTTGGGCACAATGACTGGACTGAAAAAAAGAACGAAAAAGAAACAATGTCCAAAGAAAAACTTTGAAATATCTTCAGAAAGCCTGGATATGTATTGCTCAAGAATACTTGGAAAAAACCCAATGAAGTTTGGCTCCTTGGAAGCAAAATATAAATGAATGAGGGGTGGCGCAAGACTTTTTCCCAGTAGTAGTTGTCAAAGGACGTGAACTGACTCAACAAATACTTAAATAGTACTGTACTGTACCTTTGACTTCACAACAAAATCATACGTTTTCTCCCATAAAACCTTTAAGCCTATGAACATGAGAAAATGTCATCACTTCTTATGGCAATATGTAAGTATAATAAAAGAAGAACACAAGCACACACAAGCACACACACACACTCACCGTCACCCAGACAAAAAACTCACACTCGGCCCTCTGTGTAATCCCATCTGATCTCACCGACGCTCTGTTGTTAGAAGCCTCCTCTCACTCCACGGCCTATCCCAGCACTGCCTTTGAACTCAGCTGCCAAGAAAGTGTAACACCGCGTGCCTCTTTCTTTGACTTTCAGGAATGATCAGGAACATTATAATGATAAAATTGGCAGGGGGTGAGGAGCTGAGTGGGAGCAGAAGGCCTCGACGGAAAGCAAGAAAGAGGCTCGAATATTGTCAGCGTGTTGTTAATAAGCGAGCTGAGGTGTGCGAGTGTGTAAAATTCCTGCGCGTGTGTGAGTATGTGTATACGTCTGCGCACAAATATGAATTCCTCTCTTAGGGAGTGCGTGTTGGTGAGGGTGATGTCAGGCTACATTATGGCTTATTGCTGGGTTGACTGACATGCAGGATTATCGGCTGATGGGATAAATTAAAAGAAAAAAAAAGCTTTCATCAGCATGCGGCTGGGGCCTGAATGTTTGATGTTAGACTGAAGGAGTCATATGCAAGGTGATGGAAAGTGAGAGAGGGCTGGAAGGGAGGCAAGAGGTTGAGTGCCCGATAGATAGACCAAGTTTTCATTTGAACAATCCCTGTTATCTTGCAGATTCTTCACTTCACTCCATGTCTGAGTTGTCACTGTCACCAAAATCCATTAGTGTCTCTAAAACTTGGCTGAGAAAAGATCATATTTAATGAGGCAATCCACAAGAAAATGCAAGAAATTTAGACTGGCACGGTTTCTCTGGTATTTGTCGGACAAATGTGGACATTAAAATGAATAGAAGCACTTTTAGGTTTGCTTACATTTCTTGACCAAAGCTATAGTTGCCTGTGTTAGGAAGATATAGTCTGTTACAGTTGTTAGAAAATAAGAGTTCAGATAGTGGGCCACACAAACATGTTATTGGTATGTTCAGCACCACAATGAAAACAAAGCTAAATTTATGGAAGTTTTGTTCACTACATAATAATTGAGTACTTTCAACGTAAGTAAATATCCATGAAACATAATCCAGGCTAGATTTACTCTTGAAGACAAATGCATGCGCCGCAAGAAGCTGATTTTGAGTCTTTTGTGACCTCTGGGGTTTTTTTTGTTTTGCTTTTTGTTCATTGCTAGGCCACTTTCTGGGGAACCACAGCGTGCTGGACATCCTGAGGCAGGAGGGCTATGAGATTGTCCACATGCCCTCTGATCATCAAGAGCCAGCCACAGAGTGAGTACGCAGACAAGAGTAACAGATGACGGAGCATGTCATTTGATTAAATGACTGTGGTTACAAAGACAAAAACAAAAATAAGTTGCTGAAAAATATAAAAAATAAGTGGTTGCTTGGATTACTCTTTAGAAAAGCAGTTGTTTGACATTATGGAGTCTAAGTTCTTGATGACGACACATAAATTGCGCTAATTAAATTTGAGTTTTGGATGATTCCGGTTTTGACTGAGTAATCAGGCACTTTAGAGCTATTTAAAACTCTTTACAGGTTAAAAGTATGACTTTTTCTAACCAGACTAGATATTTAATGGAAAAAGTAAAAGAGAATGTGATTTTCTATGTGCATGAGATTGATAATGTTATGGCAGTGCAGACTGTGAAGCAGAACATTTGTGCACTCTTACTGTAGATTTTGGCAGGGATACAGATGCACATCCACATGTATCTGTATCGACCCCCCCCCAACTTAGTCTGTCCACATCCGTCTAATTCTCTTGAGAGTTGAGGCATTTAACCTCAGCAGATTTATTGAAGTGCAGATACGGTCCAAATTGTGCTATGCAAGAATCCTTTGATACCTCATCATCTCCCTCACCTGCCTGCTTCTGCCCCCCACCCCCCCTTTCTGGTGGCCGCCAAAGGCCACTTGCCAGAGTGGTGGTTCTGTCTGCTTTCACTGCAACATACAAACACATGCATGCATGTATGCAGGATAAATGTAGAGATGCTCAAATTTACAACTATGCAACACATACATGACTCAGAAAGAGTCTTGGCTTCGCTCCTGTGGCCTTCTACAACTCTTCTCCATGTCTGTTAGTGTTCAGGCCCAATCACTGGCACACAGCACCTCCACTCTCACCTAAGGGTTTGATCCATGGGCCTATAAAATAATAAGAGCAGTCGCTGGAATCGGAGTGAAAATGGAAAAACAAGGCATAACAAGAACAGTCTTTTTTCTAACAGTAAAAACATCTCATCCCTCCAGCTGGAGCTTTTCACAAACTTCTCACTGCAAATTACAGCTGTAAATGTAGCCTCCCTATCTCTCTCCATCCTGTTTCCAGGCTTGTGGGCTTCAGCCAGTGGTTCATGGTTTAAAAGCTGACAAGTGGACTGACTTACTGTGGTCACGAAACACTTGTGTCTACTGCGTGCACGCACACACAAACACACACACACACATGACCACACACTTGCCTGCAAGCTGACACTTCTAGCTCCCCGATACAAGGTGATCTGACAGGCGAGGAAACACACCACAGGATGGCTGGATGAGAGGTGTTTATGAAAGCTGTTAGCCTCAGACCTGGAGTGTTTTGAACCCACTGGCACAATTATATGACTGACAGAGCAGCCCAGAGCTGGGTTTGGCTGTGCAGTAGCTTGACCGCAGGCCTGGAGCTATCATCGCACTGACCAAGCCATCAGGGCCTGGGTGAGACAAGGTTGTTGAAACTTGTGAAAACAGAAAGGCAAACCGACAAATTGATCATGACCGGTGAGACAAAACTGATTATAAGTATTTCAAAAGAAATCGTGACTAAAGCATGCGATTTCTACTGCTGTTTATTTCAGTTGAAAGGTCTTGAATGATGTGTAAAACATATTTTTGATGCTTTACTGAAACACAAAGTCACGTGCGAGCCATATTGACAGGAAAAGAACAAGAGAGAAGAAAGTATGAGTAATGGCTGGAAGAAAGAGCAGCATGGCAAAAATATTTGAAGACAGGAGATTCTGGGTGGTCTTCTTGGTCAAATGTCAGCTCTGATGCACAATATATTGCCATGAGAGTTCCAACTTCCTCTTACGTTGTCTGCTGGGTCTTTCAACTTTTAAAGGACGCCCTTCTGGTGTTCATGTCCTTGACTGAAGTTACGGGTGTAAGTGGAAAGCCATGGGGTGGTCAGAAACCACAAACAACACCACTGTCTGGTAGCACATTGGAAATCTTGCGAAACAGTACAGAAATACTAACAGAAACTATTTTGATCTAATATTTGGGTAAAAGTCTTTCTGTGAGTATTAATAGAACTGAGTCCATCCCCTGTCTGTCCTGTCCTCCCTTGCTCCAGGGCAGCAGGTCCAGACCTCCTTGCAGCACCAGAGTTCAGCAAGGAGAATACAGACACTAGCACAGGATCTCCCATTAGCTGGCCAACCAGTCCAGAGATGGAGCTGGAGCTCGAGGACCCAGAACCTATGCCTGGCCTTGGAGGGGAGGAGCTGCCTCACATGCTGCTCCCTGACAGCTTGAGCCAGCTAGAGGAGTTTGGACGCCATAAACGGCCACGCAAAGCTCACCGTGGCCACGGGAGACCCCGTCTCTTCAGTGACCTGTGGGTTCGCATTGGGGATGGGTGAGATATTTATTATGATTAGTTTGGCTGTAGCTGAGTTGCACCTCTTTAAACAAAACATAATAATCTTTTAACAATTGAATGTCTGTAAGGACTGTACTGGCTTGATGACGATTATTAATAAACTCTGGATGTCCCTAAGTAAAAGACCACAATGAGATTGGCTGCTGAATATGTACTGGAGATGTTATGCATGTGATTGTTTGGAGATCATGTAAGACTCCGTTCTTTTCCAGTCTAGCTAAATTCCTCATAACCTAATTCCCCCCCCCCCCCCCCCCCCCCCTCCTTTCTTCAGCACCACCCCACCACCAAACGTGAGGATAATCAATGGCTATGTGACAGTGGAGCCTCCGCTGACCTATCAAAAGCATCGCAGGCGGATGGAGATCTACGAGATAGATCGAGATAGTTCGCCTTCCTCCACTTCACCAAGCCCCAGCTCAGCCCAGCTAGCTCACAGCAAAGTCACGCTGTCTTGTGCTTTAGCGTGGCTTTTATCACACATATTGTTCACCTCCTGACCAAAAGAAAGTGTTACCTCATGAGAAACATTGGACAATACTTCATCCACACCAGAGCAGTGGAGCGTACCTGATAAAGCCAAACAAGGAGTGATTGTCAGGGAGAAACATCTCAGTCAGGATAAGACGTCTTAACGTGGGACAATCCGTTCTCCACCATAGAGCGAGATCGGCTTCAGGCTGCTGAAATGCCAATGTCTTTAAAAACTTGCCAAGTCTCATAATGTGTGGAATGAGCTCTGTGCTGCGTAAGAAGCAAAACGTGGACTATGTTGAACTGCAGTGGGGTCAAGTCCAAACCTCCTGAAAGTATTGAGATAGAATAACAAACACACAGCACAATGAAGAATTGTAAATTCAAAGAGCTGGAGTCTTTTACCTATAAAAACTGTAATATTATGTAGAAAAATAAGACTGACTTTAATAATGAGAATAGGTCATACTAACAGTTATAACTCTGTGAAAAGAAATGAGTTGAATAAACAAGGTACTGTGTGAGGCATTTACCTTCACACAGAGAAGCACTCAGATGCCACTTTGTAAATTGTGCATTTTGTTCATAAAGAAATATTGTATATTTATTATTTCTGGAAGAAAGAGTATATTTTCTTGCTTTTTGAAATAAAACGTAAATAAATATAGTCTGTAAACTAATCGAGTGCATCAAGCGGTCTTTCTTTCAGCAGACATAAACTGTGTGTTTAAGAATACGTTTATAACACCACCATCTGTTCTTTATTTAAAGTGTGAAATTATGGATATTTTTTGTCATAATCTAATGAAGCTTCGGAATTGTCAAAAACATTCAAATATGACTATTATCTGGAAAAATGAATAGAAACTATAGTGGAACTACACGTTTTTAACTAGGGAAACAAGCAACATGTGAGTTGAGTCTGCCACCTGCTGGCTAATACAAGGAAAACATGGGGAACGCAAACCTCATAATGAGTCATCTGTCAGTTGTGTCTCCAGTATAAAGCTCACAGACAGGACTGTGCAACTGTGAAAATGCAACTTTGAGAAATGTGAAAAGTATATATTACCACACAGCAACGGACAAAACAAAAATAAGGATATTAGCCATTAATCAAAGGTCATACTACATTTAAACATTTTAACAAAAGGAGGAATACGGAGGCCGTTGAGCTCTGCGTGTTAACAATTAACCAAAAATATCGAACTCCATCACTTCCCTTTTTGAAGCTGCTTGAATGATGAAGCTTCACTTTAAATATTTTAAGATTGGATGCTTCCTCTAAGCTCCATAAAACATAAGAATCCTTTCAGTCGTCACATACTGCGATTAACTAGGTTACAACTTCTCTTAAGGGAATCGTTGGCAACAGACAAAGTGACTATTCATTTCAATAAACTTGTTGATGATGATGATGATGATGATGATGATGATGATACTGTAGTGTATTATATTGCAGTGCTCACAATATCAGTAAAGTTCATCATGTTTGCTGTGATCTTGTTGCGAGGGAACAAAATAATTCTGTGCAAACTGTGTTGATTCCTGATCGGCTTCCTCCTCTGCTATCTCATAGCAAATGTAAATGCAGTAAGACTGCGTGATTTACAAGGACATTTACAAGTGCAATAAAAGTTGGAAAACAGAAGAACATTTTAAAAATTATTATATAAAACAAAGACAACTTTCAGCAGAAACTGCGACACTCTGAATTCTCACAGCAGCAACTGAGACAAGTTTCATTAATGATGCCCCAGTTCAATTATGTATGATGACCAGAATGCACGAATAAGGTTGAATGAGCTCATCTACATGGAATTCAGTTTTATTCCAACATAACATTTCCCAGAGTTCGCAACAAGATTGTCTACTTCGAAACAAGGCGGCAGTTTGAGAGTAAACACGGTGAAAGTAGTTAAAGAAAAGATGAGACATAATAATAATAATAATAATAATAATAATAATAATAATAATAATAATAATAAATGCAAAAAGCATTTCAAAAACAGAATTCATCATTTTAGCAGGAAAATACAGCATTGACAGGGAATGTGAAAAGTAGAAGCTCTCCAGTGTTTTTGTAACTATCTTCTCATTGATAGTTAGTGCCCAATTTGTGGTTGAAAGAACCTATCAGGTGTCAGAGAATATGTATACTCTGTCTCATACCAGTCTTATAATTTAAATCTAGTCTTCTAGAGACACTAAGCGGCTGCGCTGCACTGCTGCAGTTAGCACTTCTACCACTAAATGGCGCTAGAGTCGCATAAAAACTTGAGCAACAACAAAGCACATAAAGCTGAAAACCTGGTTGGAGGCCGCAGAGCCTGAGCACAGAGACAGGCACAGAGGCGGCCAGGCACTGGGTTACAATGGCTTAAGAATGTCCATACAGGTACGTAATAAATAATTTAAAACAAACTGTCAAGTTGTAAATTTTAAGTCAGTGGTAATAAAATGTTTTATTTTAATTCAAGGTTAATGATACCACGCAGGTACAATATACCCAAATTTATTCTTAGAAGTATTATAATATTTATTTATTTATTTATTTTAAAAAAAATAGAGAGAGATTTAAACGAAACTTTTTTGCTCTACTGACCACATGAACCTGTTATTGCCCGACATTATTCTATAATTGTTGCACCATTAACTTTACAAAACATAAATAAATAAACTCAATTATGTAAAACATGAATTTAAAATTTTTTTTCTAATTCAGTTTACTTTTCTGAGCAGTTTTAAAATCAAAACATGTCAATTCAATATTTGTATAAAAACACAATAAAATTTGGAAGATTTTGAGTGTTCGCATAAGTTATTGTCAGTCGTCTGAAAAAGTGACCAACACTTATGACCTACTTTATACATAAAACAAATTTTTTGGGGATATTTATTCACACAAAAAATCACTAAGAAATGAAAATATGATCATTCAAATATATCTGTACATTTATCAGCTTAAATCTTGCTTAAAAACCTTTAATTAAAAGATTAAAATAATATTAATATATAAATTGTAACTTCACGCTTACCTTTCAGGTTAGCCTACACCTTCTCTTGGTCTTCTCATAAGCAATTTTTTTTTTAAAGAAAAAAGAGCAAGTTTTTTAGAACAAACAGCTTTTTCGCCCCGTAAGCCAAGGCAGGACAATATTTGCCTTAGCTAGAATACCATTTTCCCTGGGCTTTGGGGTGTTGTTTGAGGGAGTGGGGGCCTTGACAGGGTGCTCTGAGGGCTGACCCTCACTCTGCTGGGCACACGCCGCCAGCCGCATATAAATAAAAGATTACAGTGGAAAATCAATTTCTGAGTAAACTCATTAAAAATGCCCCTCACCTTAAATGATTCCCATTTCCTTCCATTCAACCTGTTAACGCCTTGCTGTCCCTGAAACCGACCAGCCTACCCCCACACCCCACCACCACCACCACCACCGCTGCCTCACCCCACCCCTCCCTCCCACCCTTCTTCCATCCTTCGCCCTGTTGCTCTCCCCCGGTGGTAATTACTTGCACAAGTCGTTTTTTGCCCTTTGATTTGCACCGTTTCACAAATGAAGGTTAAGTTTGTTTAACCGTGGTGGATTTGCCAGTCATGTTAAAGCATATAATGTGGCAGGTCCTTGGTTTCTCCGCACACCTCAGGCACCCCCTGGCCTGCCTGCCGCCCCCCTCCCCATCTTCTTCCCTGTTAGCCTAGGCCTCTTAGGGAGGTGGGAGGGTGGGTGGGGGCTCCAAGGTTAAGGCTTAGTGCGCCTTAGGAAGCCTGTAGTGTATCAGACTTCAGACCCATTGACTTGACTCAAAGGCAACCAGGAAGTTGTTAAAAATCACCTCTGGTAAAAGGATTAAGAATCAAACTGCCGCGTTTGTCCTGAGAGGACGTTAAGACGGTCACCGCTAAGTTGCAACTCACTGACAGATAGGGAGAAAAAAAAAAGGAGCATAATAAAGGACCACTAGTTAACTTCTGTTCAAGGTCTTGGACATCGATGCTGTAGGTGATGTACATATTGTCTTTTGCAGTGTAAATTACTCATGTGGTGAAGATAACTGCTGAAAGCATAAAATGCACAATGGCAGAAGGTACAAGTGTCACAAGCCTCCTCTTCGATCGATACCTAATAAAGAGTGAAGTCACAGGAGCCAAGGAGAACATTGATCTGAGCTAGCTGGAGCTTCAAAGAGCATTTAAAGTCCTCGCTGCTTTGACTGTCGAGCTGCAGATTGCACACTGATCACAGCAATAGCGCATGGAGGACTTTGTTATCACACAGTCAGGACAACAGATGCCTTTCGCATTCAGCTTTCTGTCTCTCTCTCTCAGTCAATCGAGTACATTGCAGTGACACACAGCAGGTCTGTGTGGTCGTTGCTGAAGGATGTTTTTTAATTTTTAACACTAGATCTGTAATTATGAGTCGCAGGAAACGTCTGTCTACCACAACCATGTCCTGTGTGGTGAGTGTGACCTCATATTTCACAGAGAGCTTTGATTCTCTGTCTAGCAGAGGGCAGCCATAAAGCTTTGGGAAAACAAAAGCGTGCTTAGCCCGAGGGCAGATAGCTCTTCTCCCTTTAGATAATCCTGTTGATAGTGGAGGCAAAGCAGCGCTGTTTGGACAGCTCAGCTAACTCGCAGCTCATCTGTGTTTGTGCTGGTTGAGACATTATTTTCTCTCATTGTCCAAGTCCCCTTGAAGATGCGTAACTTTGAGCCGCAGGATTGAACCCATGGCCTTGTATTCCATTAACAAGGGTCAGGTGCAAGTCTTAAAGGCCAGACGGCATCTGGTGATGTTTATTAAAAAGAAAAAAATATATATATATACTACACAGCTAGGGTTTGACTTTATATTTTCATTTTAATCAGTCACCCAAAGAGATCTAAAGCCTGCTGAAATTTTATTTACAACTATAGTGACAAGAAATGTTGACGTATCAGATAAAACTGTTCAAATCTTGCTTGGATGAGGTTATTCTTCTTTCCTTTGTTGAACCCAACCAAAGTTTCTTATTCTTGAACACACTCGGTGATTTCATTTGCAGTCTCTGGCAGATATCACTTGGTTGATACAAGTTATTCATGCTTAAGTGTTTCTAAACAAATCAAGCTATTTCATTGGTCACTGTCTCTGTGATGAAGGAGGATAATCATCGCCACACTAGAGCTTTTTATTTGTTTTGGTGTCCAGCACAAAGGTTCACCTAAATCAAACTTTTTTATTTATTTAAAATAATTATAAAGGCAACACAACTTTCTCTTAAAAGTCTCTTTTCTTGTATTCCAATATAAAATTCAATACAATGTAAGAAAAATGTATACATTTTAAAAAAAGAAGAAAAATGGGGAATTGTTAATTGTGCTGCATAGAAATAAAAATAACAAAGTAGTTTGTTTTTAAGTGCTGAGGTAGAAGGAGTGAATGCGTACCAAGGAGAGCAAAGTAGTTACAAAGGAAAGAGGAATACCATGTGTGCTCGTATGTCCGTGTGTATATGTACATGTGTGTCCTTGCGTGTGCATTGAAGGATGGTGGTGAGAGTGT